GCCTATGCTGTGCTTTCCGAAAAAGGAAATATCAGAATACAGGAAATGAGTTGGCAGGAACTATCCATTCAAATTACTTCCTCTTTGGGATTTCAGAGAAGTGATAACGGCAAATGATAAGTTATTTGGAACGCTTCCAAATAAGATTACAGATTCATTTCCTTCCTCATGTCTGCCTATTAATTTGCCTCTGTTTTGTCCATCCTCTTCCGGGGATTAGTGTTGCTTTTTTTCCTGTTAAGAACTGCAGAGTGACACAAGTGATTAAACTCTTACCACTTCACAGATAATGGCAGAAAGTCATAAACGCAAGACCCAGCTTTACCATTTCTTGAATACCGTGGCTGCAAATATTGTAAATCCCTTGAAATGAAATAGAAAATCCCCAGCAGTACTAAACAGCAATAAGTTACAATAATTACACCACAGTGTTCACTATGGACCTTCCTATAAATCTAAACAGCAATACATATCTTTAGAACTTGCAGAAGTGGGAGTTGGAAATTCAAATTTTTCTTTCCTATTGCGCTTCAAAGTATCTAAAAGGAGAAGATGGATCATGACTTTGCAATCTGTCTAAATGGGCAAATGTTAAATGAAGTGTTATGGGGGTATGCTCCTTTAATCAGTAAAATTAAAGTCATCCATCAACTGAAATAGACAGAGATCCTCCTGACCCTTTTCACACAGTCCGCTGCACTATAATTTCTACAGGACTGCACACATTGGAAGAAACCAACACGCAAATTAAGACTTCATCCATACCTTCTCTCCATGATTTTTAGGACTTAAGACAGCAAATGTTGTGGATTACATGCAATCTTGCTGCTTTTATTGTATCAGTTTGACCAAAACTAAAATATATTGAAAGCCATTTTGAAACATGATTTTGAGTCAATTTTTGGAGAAAAGGATACAGCAGGATATATTCCACATCTGTGTGGTTTAAGTAAGGGGCCTGCCTGGATAGATCATGCAGGGGAGAACACACATGACAGCAGCTTTATAGAGGTGAATGTACTAGTGTATTGGCTGTGCTACTGCATTAGGGAGGTCACAGATTAAAGTTTGCATCACCACATGAAAGTGGTATCGAGCTCCAAAGACAAAAACTATTCACTTCTACAAACCAAGCAGCAGGTAAACAACTGGTGGTACCTTCCAGAGGAGGAGGCGGGACTCCAGTGGAATCTGCAAACAGCCTTGATGGATTGTGAGGTCTATCATTTGACCTCCTAACACACTTAATCACCTTAACCATGATGGCACT